AAGCGAAACAGCTTACCAATCATCGCAAATTGATGTTTTACCATTTAAAACATCGCAATGCGATCGCAAAAACGATCGCAAAAAAATAATCACTATACGGATTCGTCGTTAAATGAAGCACTTGTTATGCGGGGCACCACTGTATTGTTTTTTACCACCAGCTGGATAAAAATCTACATTTTGGAACTGCTGGTCAGCTGTTCTAAAAACATCGCTATGCAAAAATCGGTAAGCGAAACAGCTTACCAATCATCGCAAATCGCTGTTTTACTATTTAAAACATCGCAATGCGATCGCAAAAACGATCACAAAAAATAATCGCTATGCGGATTCGTCGTTAAACGAAGCACTCGTTATGCGGGGCACCACTGTATGTGTTTTTTACCACCAGCTGGATAAAAATCAGACCAAGTCATTAGATGCACATGAATGGCTAGAGCAGTGGTTCTTAACCTTTGTTAATCAGGTGTTTTTGAACTGCAACTCCCAGAAACCCCAGCCAGCAGAGCTGATGGTGAAGGCTTCTGGGAGTTGCAGTCCAAAAACATCTGAGTAACAAAGGTTAAGAACCAGTGGGCTAGAGGATGGAAGTGTAGTCTTCTTTAAAAAACAACTGGGCTAGAGGATGGAAGTGTAGTCTTCTTTAAAAACAAAATATGGACTGGTTTATCAATCTGCCCAAAGAGAAGGGATGCTTTAACAAAATATGTGAAAGATTTATATGATGCCATTGATACATTGCGATGACCTATGGTTTTAAGCAATCAACCAATAAGTTAAAGTATCAGCCACAAAATATGTGTTAGGCCAAAAGAGTTTAGAGTGCATTGCTCCAGGCCTTTCAAGTTCCAGAGTTCAGAAAATTCATTTTGGGATGACGGAAGGAGTGGCTATGCTGGCTACAGAATTCTGGGAATTTTCATCCAAAAAAAAGTAACTTTTCCAACCCTGCGCCATGAAGTACATTGGGAAACTGTGGTCAATTGGTATTTTTCAGCTGGATTTCTCTCACAGGGTTGCAGAGGCGATAGCTGGAGGGGTTAAACGTCAGGTACAGCACTTTTACTTTCATGAGAAAAAAGGCAGGAGATGGAGTAGAGCGATTTTGCTATCGAACAGTTTTGGACTAACGGAAGGCGTTTCTCTGGATGGAGCTCACGTGATGTTTGGCTGTTGGTGTCCTGTCAGCATCTCCTTAGTAACGCTTTACGCATCAGTCTCAGTTTTTAAGCCACAAAGCACAGCTTAATTAGGATGTGGAATGCAAGCTTTTGCAGGCCTGCAGATATAAAAGCAAAGAAACGTGTTTTCTCCCAACGGGTAGGGAAGAAGACTAATGAGTCCTAGTATGCAAAAGAGTGCAGTGGGGAAGGAGTGCTAAAAGTGAAACTCAGGCCACCCAACAATCGAGTTCTGCTGCTTCCACTTGAACTGCTAATCTCTCCATATTCTTCCAGTCTTCTCCCTCCCCGTGTATCCGAAAAACCTCTTCTGGAGATCTTGGAACCCCCCCCCAGGAGCAGTTTTGGGGGCCACGCAAGGTTGCAGTGGCAAGAAGAGGGAAATCCCAATTCTGCTAGCACAGGATACCAAAGATCACCAGTGAATATCGGTCTTAACATGTTCATGCAAGCAGGCAACATGTACCCTTGCTCTAGAACAGGACAGTCTTCCTTGGAATGTAAAGGGTTACAAAGGACTCCTAGGGGATATCCCGACTCAAAGCTGCACTGTGCATTACCTTGGTGGGGAAGAAAACCACACCTCCCCAAGGACAAAGGAAGGTCATCCCATTGGCTTTGGAGGCTGGTGACTCCAATTCCGCAGGGGCGGTGAATCTGCTCCAGGTTTTAGTCTGAGCTTCAAAGGATCTGAAATACGTCCAATGCTTCAGATAGTTCTTCTCATGTTCAGGTTAAAACCTGGGGCAGATTCAACAGCCCAGCAAAATCAGAAGTTGCCAGTCTCTAATACATAAGAACCCATTCTACATACAAAGGAAGAGGAAGACCAGAAGACAGCAGGGAGACATAAATAAGAGACACCTCATCTGAAAAGGGCAGACGTTGGCCATGGCTGCTACTCAACTCTCCTGCAACTGTGATCCAAGAACTTTCCTGGCGTTAATCCAAAGTGTTACTGTTACCCCTGACAAATGCAGTAGTTTTCAATAGCTATTCTGGCCAAATGAGAAATTTGCTTTGGCTCCTGGCCCCTTTAAGACAAAATATACCGTATTTTTCGCTCCATAAGACGCACCAATTTTTAGGAGAAAAAAAACAGGAAAATATAATCTGTTTTCTTCGCTCCATAAGACGCACAGACTTTCCACCCCCCTGTTTTGTGGGGGGAAGTGCATCTTATGGGACGAAAAATACGGTACCTTCCAAGAAAGCTCTAACATAGTGGTTCCCAAACTTGGGTAACTCAGATGTTCTTCGACTGCAACTGCCAGAAGCCACGGCCACCACAGATGGTGATGAAAGCTTCTGGGAATTGTAGTCCAAGAACACCTGGATTATCCAAGGCTGGGACCCACTGCTCAAAGCTACTTCCCAAGAAGTTAAGACTGCTGTTGGCCATCTGCCAGCCTTGTTGTTATGCCTAGCGGTGAATTATAATCACCCCATGAATCTACAGTTAACATCTAGTAGAGTTTTCCTTTTATGATCATGTACTGCTGAGAGAGAAAACAGCACAGCCCACAGAACTAAACCAGATTGGATTACTATCGGTGTTCATTTCCAGATTATATCTTTCTTGACGCAGTGCGGAAAAATCACTATCAAACTAGTGTTTATGCCGTTCATGGATACTGGCTGGGATCAAATGATGGGCTTTCACAGCAAAGGATCATACTGGTCCAGCTAAAACGGGTGAATCTCAATAACAAAGTGCATCATTGGGTCTCATTCACGATCTGCAATGGTCCTTTACAGCCACTAGAAAACAACTTAAATATCACAGAAGGTATTGAACCACCATCACCACCCCGTCCCTATGACCCAAACAATTAGATCATAATAGGCTAACCTTGCAAATAATAAGCACTACCTCGCCATCTTCAAGAGAGAATGAAATGAAACTCCAGGTCTGGATGATGTACAGTGGCGCCTCGCAAGACAAAAGTAACTTGTTCTGCAAGTAGTGCTGTCTTGCGAAATTTTCGTCTTGCGAAAAGCGGTTTCCCATAGGAATGCATTGCAA